CCTTTATCATGTCGTCTTTCACGTCCTTCACCTTGAATTCAGCGAGCGTTGTGTTCTTGTATTTTCCATGCAGCTTAAGGAAGTGTTCTCTTAGTTTTGCCGGTGCTAGACTAGAATTGCTCAACTTGGCATTGCAAATCATGCAGTTAGGACGCTGACTCCCATCACGTTCTGTTATACATGTGAATCCATATTGTACATATTCGTCCGACCACTTTCTTTTTTTGCTCAACATAGTTAGTATGAAGGGATTAAAATATTAAGAAAGAAATCACACGACGTACCATCGCGACAGTTACAATTCGACTACTGGGCGCACCAAATTCCCTGCAGCACAGATAGGCCAAGCGATGTGGCGTTATCACCTGCAGCCAATGATGGACAAGCGGAGCGTGTCATCACAAATCATATGAGTCGGGTGTGTGTCTTGACCTCCGCCGAACTCGCGAGACTGACTCACCGAACCCCTGGTGTTCGATCGAACCCAGGTTAAGAACCACTGTCTTAGATTCTCCTCAAATAAACAGTTATGAAGAAATCATTCAAATGTTTAAGTATCCTTATTTAGTTTGTCTGAACCTCAGGAATCTCAATGCCCATGGGAAGCGCAAGAAGATAGACACCCACCCACTACTGTTTTGTACAATTCCCAAAATCATATAACTGTCTGCCTTGACAGACATTTATTCTGCTTCTGCCTACCAATCCCCCTAAACACACAGAAGAGAGTTTTTCTGAACAAATTAATCCCAATAGATACAATTTAAGAAGCAATACATATTGATAAATCAATCTATTCCTGCAATCCTCTGTACAGTGTCCTTTGAGAGAATTATATCTGGCATTATGTCAGCATGTTGGTATCATCTGAATCGGTGTGGCTCCATAGTTATGTAGATTGTGACCTGGACCTGAAATGAATTGATAAGCGAATCCCACTACTGGAGTTTTCAGGGGACAAATTTCAGAGGCAAGGAAGCCAGTGATATTGAATCAGTTGGAACTCTAAAGAATTGAGTTATACCCCACCCACAAACAAAACAAAACATATCTGCTCTTGTATTTCCTTTCTTGCCAAATGCTATCAGGAAGGGCTTCCTTCCCCCCCCAAACATCTGTGACCTCAGCTCATTCCCCCTCCCCATTTCCTTTGGGGCTTCAGAAACTAAAACCTGGGATGATCAGAGGCTACAGATTGTGTTCCATCAAAATGTGCACATTATTGGGGAAATTAAGTTTTAAAAGTTTTCCTGAATCAGTTAGATCTCTGCATCCTGATATGGAAAATGAAAGTTTTTCTCGCATAAATATTGTTGAAATAATAGCTATATAACCTAATAATTCAAAAAGTATTTTAAAATGTGTTTCCATTATTTCTTAAACTTCCCACATCTTTGTAGCAATCACACAAATTATATTTTTCCCTCAGTCATCTGATTTATTTTCTTATCAAGGGAATACACCCAGAGAATACCTTGCTCTTTGTAATAGATGAATAAATAAACAAACATCAAAGGAATCAAGCAACATTAAAAGCATCAATAAAAGATCTACAAATATCAACATACATAGCAAGTGTGAGTTTGAGGAATTTCAACATTTGTATCATACATTAAACATTTCAAAAATTATATTCTCAAAGCTCCAGAATTCTTTATTTAATAGTTTTAGAATAAGAACAGGACAATGATTTCAAAAATAGGGTAACATCTGAAAAATGTCTGTCTTACTTTTTAATGCCAGTACCTCTAATGACCTCATTCATTGTTGTATTATTTATTCATTAGGAAAGTGACACTGAAATGTTTCTTCCTGATTAAGATTATTTCTCTTTAATGAGAATGTTTAAATGTTCTGATAGGAAATTCTTATTTATTTTTAAGAACAAAGCAGTTTTGTGTGTGTATTAGATTCCCCATGTAATGATATTCAACAGCTAAACTAACTTTTGGTCAAGAAACATGATCCAGATAAATTTCTAAAAATAACAATGGACCTTCTGATAATCAAAACTAATTCTATTAGAACTTTATGTTTTTCTTTCATTACATGGCCATCAAAGAACATAGTGGCTGAACACCATCAAAACTGACACCAACCTGAGCATAGAAAAACTCAAAAATAGTGAAAGACAGGAAGACCTGGCCCATAGAATTGCTAAGAGTTAGACATGATTGAATAGATATCATCATCATCATCATCATCATCATCATCATCATCATCATCATCATCATGCATACTTACTATATTTATTTTATTAAAAGTGAATAAGGTCACACTGTAATAAAAAACTGTATTTGAGTTTTTCTATGCTCAGGTTGGTGTCAGTTTTGATGGTGTTCAGCCACTATGTTCTTT